CAGTCCCTGCACCGGCTGGGCCCTTCCTTGCCAGCAGCCCTGCAGGTTCCTCACCTTCAGCAATCTCCAAACCTCCACCTCAGCCCGCGCCTGCCAGCCATCCCCACTGGGACCGTCCTGGGGCCCAACCTCAGGGCCCCGCTGAACTTACCTCCCCAGCCCAGACCTCCCTCTGTGAGATAATGGCAGCGCCGCCGCCACCTAGAAGTGCCCAAGACCTTCCTTCTCTCCCACTCTCCGTGTGCCCCGCGGGGCCTTGTCAAAACCCCCATTTTCTCCATCCTCACCTCCTCCCAGAGCCTCCTGCTGCCCTCCCTAACCACAGCCCGTCTCCACAGTAAACTGCTTTCTGCCTCTGATCCCTGCCCTTCTCAGCTCCACTGGCTCTGCGAGGAAAAGGCCAGGATCCCCACGGCTGCCCCGCCCCCATCAGCCTCCTCGGGCCAGGGTTCTAGCACCCCAGTCACCAAGTGACATAACCTCCTTGTCTTGTGTTGTCACTTCTCCAAAATCACAACAGTCACTGTGTCAAAAGGCTGCTAGGACGAAGCACTTGGGATCATCTGCAGTACCTCCACAGGGCCAGGTCCCCAGCTCAGTGAGTGTCTGCTGTCACTGCGGTCACACTGGACAAGTACTTGAGACGCCCGGTCTCCAGTCCCACACACAAAGACCTTAGAAGTGTTCAACCCCCATCTTCGCCATGAGGGGGAAAAAGCTATATAAACTGAAAATCAAAAACTCTTCTTAAATCCATCAGAGGCCTGAGCTCACAGCACAAACTACTGACCCATACACTGGAGAGGCAGAAACCCCCACAGAACCAGCGCTGGGCCGGAAAGCCTGCACTGAACTTGATGAATTGCTGGAGGCTGAGTGTGGACAGGCTTGACTGGAAGAGCCCGAGAGAGCCCAGTTATTAGAGGGGGCTCACACCTTCATGAGTTCTCACTCCAGGAGCCCTACAAAGTCCTCACAGAGAAAACTGAAGAAAAATTCCCCAGGGTTTCCCAAAGAAATGGGGCACGCAGTCATTTTTAAATAAGCCCAAAGCACTGTGTTCTCCTTAACAAAAGTTTGCCTTCAAGGGAAATTACTTTGCCAGAACCAAGACAAAACCCAGGAGAAGGAAAGTACCCAGCTCCAGCCTACCTGCCTTTCCTAAGACTGGCAAGGTGGGAGACGCTGAGCAGCACTTGTAAAAGTCACAGCCCAGGGGCACGGCCTCACTGAACAGGAGGCTAAGCCTCAGGACGGCTGAACTCACTACACAAACGTTACCACGCAAGTCAGAGGGCGCCTCTGTACTGCCGGATTACAGCCAAGGAGCTGCAACCTCAACTTTCTTTAAGAAGGAGTCTTTAGGGAAACCCAAAGACAACAGGGAAGACAAAAACAAAGACAAGAGAGGAATCCTCACCTCGACACAGTTCCAGCAAACAGTAAACAGAGCCTGACTGCGAGCCAAATACATGCCAATCCCACTGAGGGCCTATTGCCCTCAGTTCCTTTACCTAGTGTAGACAGGTCTGCCCATCAACCGCAAACTACAAAGCGTGCTAAAGGCAAGAATGCAGTCTGAAGGGACCAAACAAGCATAGGGACCAGACTTAGATGTGGTAGAGTTATCAGACTGGGAATTCGAAATGACTATGATAAGTATGCTAAAGACATTCTAGAGGAACTAGACAGCATGCAAGGACAGAGAGTAACAGAAGCAGAGAGAAGGAGACTCTCTAAGAAAAAAGAATGTGCAGGCGATCAGAAAAGCACTATACAAGAAATAACATCTTTGACTGTTTACCAACAGAGCAGACAGGCTAAAGGATAAATAGTGAGGGTCGAGAAATGTCATTAGAAAGTACTCAGACTGAGCGCTGGCCCTGGAGCCTCATGGTAAAGGGAGCTGGAGTCTACATAGCTGACCACAGTTCAAATCCTTACCCCAGTGGCTTCAGAAACATGCTCAGTGTGTGCGTGTGCACGTGCATGTTTGTGTGTGTGCCTAAAATCCAATGGAGAAATGGAGAAGGGATTGTGATCTGGCCAGGCTCCGTTGTGGGTGGTGCTTTCTACTTCCTTCCCCCACCCCGTCTCTCTGTCTCTGTGTCAAGTACACATGATCTCTGGAAATTTAAAAAAAAAAAAAAAAAGATAACATACACAAACTGAAACTCAAACCAAAAATATGAGAAAAACGTGAAACAGAATTCTGAAGAACTATGCAACAATTATAAAAGCTATAACATCTGTGCAATAGGAATACCTGGAGGAGAATAAAAAGAGAGAGACATACACAAAAAATATTGGAAGTAATAATAACTGAGCATTTTCCAAAATTAATGACAGATACCAAACCAAAGATGCAGGAATTTTAGAGAAAAACAAGCAGGATAAATGGGAAAAAAAAAAAATCACCTAGTCATATCACATTCATACTGCAGAAAACCAAAGACAAAAAAAATTGTTTTTCAAGGGAAAAAGAGGCAAAAACATATAAGAAACAAGAAGTGGGAAATTATTTGTTGACCATAACATGTATGGCAATATCCTTGATTAAGCCAATATGCAGTGTGTTCTGGATGGGAAATCACATTTTGTATGCTGTATGATGCTCAGTGAATGAATTTAAAATAAATTTGTTTAAAAATTTTAGAAAATAAGCTACAGGAAGGGAAAAACATTTTACAGAGAAGAACAAGGATAAAATCTCAGATGCCATGAAAACCAGATGATAGTGGAATGAAATACTTTGAAGGAAAAGATCACCAACTTAAAATTCTGTATTCTGCTAAACTAAAAGAGAAAGAAGACTCACCATCAGACTAAGAAGGAAATTGTCACTAGCATTTAAGAAATGTTCAAAGGTCTTCAGAGTGAAGAAAAAGGATTTAGTTTGGAAACTAACATAGAAAAGATACTGAATGATGAAGTGGGGAGATTAATGTCTATGTATTGACTGACATGCATGGCATTCCCTTTTGAAAAAGCAGTGTAATACACTGTAAAGTTATATGTAACTCAATATAATATAGATTATGATGAAAATAAATAAAGAAGAAGATCGTGGGAGAACGGAAAAAAAAAAAAGAAACTAAATAAGTGAGAAGGAATAAGTGAAGACAAAATAAATACTTGAAACAAACCAGCCACACTTCCCTCTGGAAGTCCTCCTGCCCTGGCCCACACTAGCACCCATTCCAGAAGCACCCACACTGCCCCATCACACAGCACTGGCCTGACCTGTTCTCTGTCTCCCCACAGGCCATCAGCCATGCGACCCAGAGCCAGGAACAAGCAAAAGAACAGCAAAGCGCCTCCCCAACACTAGGGCAGGTTGTTAAATAGCACGTCTCTTTATTAGCAGTTTAAGGAGAAGATTCCGTGCCACCACCGTGGCAATGCAGGACTCACTGGCTGGCATCTCTGGGCCCAGGTCTGGTTACTCTTCAGGTCAAGCAGGAGATGGACACTCTTCTGACACAGGCCTGCCCCTTGGCCCTGAAGGGCTTCGACCTGGGAAACAGACATGTCCAGGAGACCCGTGATGGAGGCACAGTTGGCTGGAGGGCAGGGTTGGCCGACAGCGACCTGCTTCGGACCCTGCAATCCTCCACTTTCATAGATACAGAGCTGCGTGCCCTCCCAGAGCCTCCGATTCCTCCCCTGTAATCATGTCAGCAAACGCGACACAGCGTCTGCCATTTGCTAGACCCTGTCACCTCCAGACAGCCCTGGGAAGTGGACGCTCTTACTAGACACAAGGAAATCAAGGCCAGAGGCCAGACACTCGCCAGCCTGAGATGGTCGGGGCCCAGTGTCTGCTCGCCAGTTCGGCCTACCTTCCCCCTTCGTGTGGCGCGGTGCCCTCCTTTAAAGGTTGGTTTGGGATCAGGTGAGAATCCTCAACAAAGTGCCTTGTGCAGAAGCTGGCATGCAGTGGGGCTCTATAAATGCCATGTGACACCTCTGCGGCCTTCCTTTAAACCCGCTGGCTGGCTGTATGCACCACCCCACCAGCTCCTCAGCAGCCTTTGGAGGGGGCAGAGGTGAGCACAGTGGCTACCTCCCACACGACTCTGTAGCTACAGCCCTGCCGTTGGCCTCCCACCTCCCAGAGCCCTGTTAGGACCACTGTGCCCAGCACAAGTGAAGGGCCATGTGACCAAACTGTGTGAGGCTAACCCTCATCACCCAGTTCCCACCTGGCATGCCTCCTGGCTCCCAGTCACCACCTTCTCCACCCAGCTCCTCGCCTGCTGGCTTGCTCACCTGTCGCTCTTAGCAATCCGAGAAGGAAGGTCTGAGGCAGCAGTCCTGAGCAGAGTCGTCTGTAAGGTGGCAGATGCTGCAGGGCACAGAGGAGGGGCTGGCACCAAACAGGCTACCATGGCAGAGCCCACCCAGACCTGGCACAGGGCAGGGCAGGCCGGGGCCATTGCCACATCCAGGCCTTGGGGCAGAGTCCTGCCAAGGGGTCCTCAGGCTGGAGCCCTACTGTGCGCCTGAAGCCACCTGGGAGGCTGGCAACGCCACCAGTGTGGAACAGAGAAGAGAGGGCAGCAGCTGTGGGACCTGCCTGTCCTGCCCTCGGTGTTGGAAGAGCAGTGGGCACCTAGCTGGGTTGGGCAGTGCTGTGGCTTAGAGCTGCCCCCCTCATTGGGGTGCTGAGACCCATGGGCCATTCTAACAGTGCTGGGAGGGGGGTCGTCCTCGTATGGAAGGAAGGGTGGGGGCTTCGGGAGGAGACTAGGGCTAAGGTCAGCAGGGGCCCCATGATCAGCTCCTGGTGGCCCTGTACTATCTGGGGACCCCACCACCAGAAGACCTTCAGATATGGCCCCTTGACCTCGGACCTCCCAAACCATGAGCTGAATAACCTCCATTCCAATAAATCGCCCAGTCTCCAGTGTTATTAGCCACATAATGGGCTAAAGTAGACAAGACAGCCACTTCCTACCTGCCTGCCCCGGTAAGGAACGCCGGCCAGCTGGCTCCCAACTGCTTACCTGCGTCTCACCTGCTCTATCCGGTCTCGCATGACCTCGTCTGTCACCTCGCTCGGCACTTGGAAGATGCGGGTGTGGCTGCAAAACACCGTTCCAACCTTGGCCCTGAGTCCTCTTTCCCAGGCCCAGGTCTGCCCTGGAGTAGGGTCATCTCAATGATAGCTCGTATCCCATGGCCATGACCCTCGCTCAGAAGTTTGTCTCCATGCCATGAGCGCAGGGTGCTGTTACTAACCCAGGGTCCCCCAGCACCCAGATGCACTGAGCACAGAGGTGGTCAGAGGGACGCAGGGAGGGTGGCAGCATTCCTGAAGTCAGCCGGTTGGTGGTCCAGGAGCACGGGGATCCCTCCCAACTTCCTCTCCCATTTCCTCCAGCCTGCAGGATTGGCATCACCAGGCCCACTGTGGTTTACTGACTTGGCATCACTGTGCCCACGCCTTCTAGAAAATTCTGTCACCAGGAAAACACAGGCACTCGTGCTGTGTCCCCTCCCTCCCTAGTCACTTCGTGTCTTTGTCACCTGATTCATTCCTTCCCTCGCAAGCCCTCCACTCTGTCCACTGAACACTGTGTGCAGCTTATTTATTTATTCCATTGAGGAAGAGACAGAGAAAATGGGACAGGGAAACTGACAGAGTATACCCCAACAAAATCTTGGCAATGCAACCTGCCCCCAGCCTCGGCCAGCCCCAGACTGTGGGCACGCGCATGCCCACTGTATTCAGACAGGTCTCCAGACTCAAACTGGCAACCTTCACATGTGGGCCTGCCTCGCACATTTAACCACGTTTAACCACCGCGCCACTGTCTGGCCCTGACCATGCATTCCTGTGTCTATGGAAGCTGCTCTGTGTGGATAAGGCCCTGCTCTCAGTGCCTTGGGGCTCTGTGGCCCGGGGAGGTGGAGGAGACTGCCAGCCCAGGGTGGGGAAGCCTCAGAGAAGGCAGGGCCGCAGCCCTGAACCCGAGGCCATGTGGATCCAGGCTCTCCTGCTGTCGGGACCCATCCTGGCTCCTGTTCCTCCAGTTCCCACCCAGTGCAAGGGCAGGTCTGAGAAAACAATCTGCCAGAACCCCTCCCTGAGCGCCTGGGGCAGCTTTGCAGCACGTGTGTGACCGCAGCCACCCACGCTAAGCTCATGCGTCGTCCTTTACCCCCCAGTTCACTTCAGCCCTTCGACGTTAGGCCTGCGTCTCCTCTCTCCCTCCCAGAGGCCCAGCAAACATCAAGTGGCCAGTTCACCCCTAGTCAACAAGTGAACCCTCGGCAATGCTTGGCAAGGGGATGGATATTCCCCAAAACTAAGAGGAAGACACCAAAACTAAGGATTGTGGAGCAAAATAGGCAGAGCTTGTTGGTTTAAAACCGCCACAGAAAATTTAGAGTGGAAAAATGCTACGCAGATCATTACCAGTCCCTGCAGCCTGTCCCAAATGCCTAAGCCTGGTTATATCCCACAGCCACGGTTTTAAAACCATCAGAAAATGACGAGCATTTTATCCAAACCAAGGACAGAATTCCATCCGCGGCCATGCCAGGCACAGAAAAGCCTGGATTATTATTGACATTGATGATTTTAGAGGCCTTGGAAGGTTTCCTGTCCAACAAACTTTCCCAGGGAGATCTCAAATGCCACGATTAATTGTCCCTTCCTGTTATGTAATTATCGCATGTTTGAATCTCTTACAATGCAGGTGTCGCTGAAAGGGGGAGATACATCGAAATCTGAAACCCTGGAGCGAAAATACACTTCTTAAGGAAAAGCCTCGGGAGCAGCAGAGCAGGACAAGGGAGGAGAGAATAGGAGATGAGGGACTCCTTGAAGGTGTCCCACAGTGTCAGCTTACGCCCACGATCCCTCTGCTGGGAAGGGGTGTAGTTGTGGTCCGGAGCCCCCAGCCACCCAGGTACCGGAAGTCACGGCCCAAGGACAGAAGCAGCTTCAGGTCCAGCTCCCTGGGCCTCGAGTCAGCATCTTCAGAACTAGGAGAGGCCCAGAGGACTCCGGGAAGGCAGACGAAGCCACCACAACAAGAGGAACGCAGAATTCCAGCCTTGGGCACTATGACACATCCACACACCTCCATTGCAGATGAGGGCTTTGGCTTTTGCATTTTAAGAGCTTATTTTCTTTTAGCTCTTAAAAGTAAAGCCACTTCTCAACAATTCAAGTGCAAAAATAACACAAGTCTGAAATGTATTCAGAAGCATTTGAGAAAAGGAGAGCAAGCCCAGCTTCCCAACCCCTCAAGTCATTTACAAATGAAGGAATGAGCTGGGCTTTCAAGATAGCAAAAATATTCTCTTGAGACCCCAAAGCAAGACTGAGAAATTTCTGTATGAAAGGAGAGGCCATCCGTGGAGAAAGCCACTGTGCGTGGTGCTGGCTGGGTTCCTGAACTGGGGGTTTGGGCCTTCTCGTGCTCCCTCCCCTCCTTCTCCCTCTCCCTCTCCCTTCTCTCCTCTCTACCCTTCACCAGTCCCTCTCCTCTCCCCTCCCCTCACTCCTCATTTCTCTTCCCTCTCCCCTCCCCACTCCCCTGCATAGGGCAGATGGGATGCTCACCTCCATCTGATGAACTGAATCCTCGTTCGCTCCTCCAGGACCTCTTGGCTCTGGTTGGCTGACAGGTCAGACTTTGAGAGATGGTGCTTCACCTACGAAGTCCAGGCAGGGGTTCTTGTGACTGCTTGGGTGGCCAGGGTGGCCCATCCTCACCCAGAACCTCTGACCGTGGGACACGCGCCCCTCCCTTCTCCCTTGCCCCATTGCCGGGTGGATGGTCTAGAACGCGCAGTTACCACGTCTCTGGTCACGTGTACGTCCTGGCCGTGAGTGGGAGAGCAGTAGGCAGACATCTTCTCCTTGATGCCCTGGGCAGCCTCTTCTTCTGTCTGAAAGGTATTCTCCCTCTAAGTGTCTCTCTGCTTCTAATCTCTCGTCTCCTTCCCTGCACTTTCCTCCCTCCCCATTGCAACACGCAACCCTAATCCCCCACACTCCGTATCTCAGAGCCCACAGCAAGCTCCTCTGTGGCTTCTCTCCTGGGAAGTCCCAGGGACCTCCCTAAGCTCCAGCCCTCGCCCAAGCTATGCCTGAGACACCCTTGGGCTGGGGGTGATGCAGCAGAAACCCCTTGGACCAGGATGCTCGAGAAGTGGGCAGGGCTAGGGTGGAGTTGACGTGTCTCTTACCGGTACACAAGCCCTGGCATCCTTGAGGACATCTGGGTGAATTAGACCCCACCCTAGGCAGGGGTTTGGCAATTAACTTGAGTTTCCCAGTGCAACTGAGAGGGGAGATGGACCCTCACAGCCACAAAGACCAGCTCTCTAGAACGGCAGATATGCTGAGTCATGGGGACTGTCGCTTACTTTTTTCAGCCAGTGTTGGACCACGGACACGGCTTCACTTTCCACAACTTCAATGTCCTGCAATGATGGGACGGAGCTCAGGGCTGTGGGGACCCTGCTCTCCCCACACTCCTCTCCTAGATCATGAGGTCCCTCTGAAGTACAGCAGGGACCCAGAGGGGAGAGGATCATGAGGAACTCCACTTGGTCACTATCAGCAGCACTCACCGAACTGATTCTCGGTGGGAAGGGGAGCCCTGCACCTTTCCGGGCAAGAATGTATACAATCCACGTCGTAATGATCATCTCGGGACTCGTGCCAGCCGCCTTCTTCACTCCCTCCTGCCATTGAAGCTGCCTGGGAGCTCCTATAGGCCAGGGAGGGCATCAGAGGGATGTGCTCGCCTGATTGGCTGATGGATGATGATGTGACAATGACCTCCCTTAGTGCCAGGGTCAGAGTAAGGATGGAAATGGAGGTCAGGAGATTCCTGCCTCACTGACAGCCATGCCTCACACATGGAAAGGGGGCAATGGGAAGTACGGGTAAGACACTACCGGTATGAGCCCCAGGAAGACACAGGGAAATGACCCAAATCATACACAGACTCTCAGGGCAGAGGGGGGGAGGGCTGGTCACCAAGCTCTAAGCAATGCTGAAGCAAAAAGAGTTTTTAAAAAATAAAATGAATAGTGAGGGACAGCAGTTGGCGTAATGGCTATGTCACTGGACTCCCACGTAGTCGACCATGGTTCGAGTACCGGACCCATTGGCTTAAAACTCACGCCGGGCAGGGACCAGCAGTTAGCATAATGGCTATGTCGCTGGACTCCCACGTAGTCGACCGTGGTTCAAGTCCTGGACCTGGTGGCTTAAACTCATGCCAGACGCGTGTGCGTGCGTGCCCAAGATCCCGAGAGGAGAATGGAGGAGAAGGGATTGCGGCGTGGCCATCCACTGTGCACGCGCCCCATAGCAAAAACCTCTCCCCCCCAAAAAAAAAAAACAAAACTCACGCTGGGCGCATGTACGTGCATGCCCAAGATCCCAAGAGGAGAATGGAGGAGAAGGGATTGCGGCATGGCCATCACCCCTGGGGGGTGATTTCTTGCTTTCTGTCTCTGTGTCTATCTGGCGAGCACACAAGCCCTATGGCAAAAAAAAAAAAAAAACCTCTCCAAAATAAATAAATAATTTTAAAAATAAAATAGGGAGCCAGCAGATGATGTAATATTTACATCACTGGACTCCCACATGGGCAATCATGGTTCAAGTCCCATATCAGTGGCTTAAAACTCACACCAGGCATGAGTAGAGACTGCGGCATGGACATCCTCCCCAGGGGGTGATTTCTCACTTTTTGTCTGTCTCTCTCCTATAGTAAAAATCTCTCTAAAAAGTTCATTCATTCATTCATTCATTCATTCATTCATTTATTAAATAAAATGAATAAATTGTGACAAAATGAACTTCATTCAAAACAGTGTCACAAGGATTTTCTATTCTTAACATATAGGTTGCGGGGGAAAATATTGGTTCACCCAAAAATAAAATTTTAAAAGGGGAGCAAAATTCTCAATAGAGAAATGGTGTTTTTTTTTTTTTTTTTTTTTTTTTTGACTACTCTGTCTGTGTGAGTGATTAAAATAATTAAAAAGTAATCTAAACAATAAGAGGTGTAGCGTAAAAAGTAGACATATCATCTCTTTAAAAGATGTTTCCTGAGGGCCAGCAGGTGGCATAGTGGTTAAGGTGCTGGACTCCCACAAGGCTGACTACGGTTTGAGTCTTAGATCTCATGGCTTAAAAATCATGTGTGCATGTGTGCCCAAAATCCTGAGGGCGGGGGGGAACAGAGAAGGGATTGAGGCATGATCATTGCCCCTCTGGGAGGGGAATGTTGCTATCTCTCTTTCCCCCTTTACCTGCACATGCACCCTCTAGAAAAATGTTTTAGAAAGGAAAAAAGAATAGTCTGATTCACAGATACCTAAGGTTACTTACGAAGGTAGAATAGATGGGCACTCCACCGAATTCTTACTTGATTTGTGTAAGTGGAAGGGCTCAAGGTCAAGTAAAGGGAAGTCTAATTAGGAGATCCGAAAGTCACTGTGGTCTGTGAGTCAGAGCAGGCTTATGGAGGGCAGGTGACAATGGGGCTGTAGCACAGGTCCATCTCACAGGGGATCCAGTAGGTCCCTGAGCCCATTCTATGGTTGTTTGTCCAGTTCCAGAACACAGCCTTGGAACAGACACAAACAGCAACTGGTGGAAACTCCGCACCGCTTCCCGAAGCAGAGTAAGGACTAATATGTACGGAAAGCCAAGTGGAAGCCACTAGAACTGTTTCTATCTAAACAAAAACAAAAACAAAACAAACAACAAAAAAAGAAGCAGCAAAATAAAAAGCAACACAACATTCCCAAAGAGGTCACAGAGATCACGCCACCATCGATTGACAAGCACAGAGGTGAGGAGTCCCACCACGCCATCCTTCAACTTGTCTATTTAGCCCGTGCACAAGGCAGAAGGGTTTTTAACAGTACCTGATCCTCAGCCTAACTAGGCAGCAACTCCAGTAGCAGCCGCGGATCCAGATGTGGCTTCATTGCTTGAGTAAATTAACATATTGCCTTACGCACAGTGTGTAGAAATGGACCTGGCTTGGTTTTGTGGATTTGTTTGGTTTTTGTTTTTGTCTTTTTGTACTTGTTGTTTTGTTTTTGTTTCTTCCTCAAAGCCTGTTAGTAAAAACCACCAGAAGTAGGTCTGCTGCTAGGCCTTATGATCAGCAGTCAATGGCACTTGTAGTGCCGCTGGCTGATGGGGGCGCTGTTCAGAGCCTTTGGCAGGCCTCTGTCTATGCAGCATGGGGCAAGCTGTCAGGATTTTGGAGCAAGGTTTGCCATCCTCTAAGGATAACTTCTCTTATTTAAGCAAGAACTCTATCTGCTTTTGTTGTGTGTTTGTTTTTGTTTGTTTGGGAGGTGGTATTTGTTTGGGACTGACTCCTGGGCCTTATTAGAGACTAAATGCTTAACCCCAATCCAGGTTATCTTGCAACCTAATCTGCCCATCTTGACCAGGGGTTGTCTGACTCCTCAATGCATTAAGCTGGCTGTGTACACCCGTATTCCGTCACAAAATGGAAGTGGCAAGGCTGAGATCAAGGCTCAAGCAGGCCCTGAAGGGACTGAAAAGCAACAGGAGGAAGTAATCTGCATGTCCGTGGTAACCATTCCCGCCACGTTGCATTCTCTCTCCCACAGCAGCGGCCTCACAGGGCACTCACTATGGTCACTTGACAGAGGAAGAGAAGGCTCAGGCCTGAGGTACAGGAGGTCAACCCAACATTCAGCACCCCCTGAAAACAGCCAGCTCTAACACTACAGTCCCTTTCTGGGTCATCCCTGATGGACAATGAGAAGGAAAATCCTTCATGTGGGCAGAAATTCAAGCAGTGTACCTTGCTGTTCAGTTTGCTTAAAAAAAATGGCCAGACATATAAATATATACCAGCTCATGGGCTGGTGTTCAATGGGTCAGCTGGATGGTCGGGTCTTAAAAGGAACGTAACTGGAAAATTGGTGATGAAGTTGGGGAAAGAAGTACACGGGCAAAACGCATGAAGACATTTGTGTTTCATATGAACACTCACCAAAGGCTGAGCTCATCAGGACATGCTATCACTAATCAAGTCGACAAGATGACTTGTTCTGTGGCTATCGGTCATACTCTCCCCCCAGACACCCCATCATCACCCAATGGGGTCATGAACATGTGCCAAGATGGAAGTTATTCATTGGCTCAGTGAAATCAACTGCTCACCAAGGCATATCTGGCTCAGTGAAATCAACTGCTCACCAAGGCATATCTGGCCAGAGTCACTTCTGAGTGCTCAATCCGCCAGCAACACAGAACACTGAATCCTGCTAGGTCGTCATCCCCTGGGTGATCACCTGGCTACCTGATGCTGGTTGAGTGCACTGGCCTACCTCCATCATGGAAATGGAAGTGTTTTGTGCTTACTAGAATACACTCTAGGTGCAGATGTGCCTCTTCTACTTGCCTTACTTCTGCCAAAACTACTATTCATGGACGTACATAGTGTCTTATCTACTATCATGGTGTTCTATACAGCATGCTTCTACTTGAGTAACTCGCTTCATAGCAAAAAAAAAAAAAAAAAAAAAAGTAGGGGCCCATTCTTAAGGTACTCAGTTGTCTTACCGTGTTCCCCAGTACTCTAAAGCAGCTGGCTTGATAGGGCAGAGGAATGGCATTTTTTTTTTTTGAGAGGTTTTTCGATATAGGGCGTGTGAGCTCGCCAGACAGACAGAGAGAGACATAGAGACAGAAAGCGAGAAATCACCCCCCAGGAGAGATGGCCATGCCACAATCCCCTCTCCTCCACTCTCCTCTCAGGATCTTGGGCACGCACACACACGTGCCCGGCATGAGTTTTAAGCCACCGGGTCTGGGACGCGAACCACAGTCGACCACATGGGAGTCCAGTGACATAGCCATTATGCTAACTGCTGGTCCCAGAGGAATGGCCTTTTGAAGTCCATTACAGCACCTGCTAGCAGGTGATACCTTGCAGGAGTGGGCAGGGTTCTTCAGGGAGCTGTATTTATTATAAATCAGTAGCCAGTATTGATGGGTCTTCAAAAATGTCATAGAAAATGTATATCATGAAAAAATTATGCACAGGCTTCAAAAATTTTTGCACCAAAATAAACTTGTACTCCATTTTCATATTTCTACAGACTTTTTCAAAATTCCTCATATTTATCCCATAGCCAGGATCCAACGGTCCAGAAATGAAGGCATGGAAGCAGAGTGGTTTCTCTTGCCAATGACCCACTAGCAAGATGTTCCCTTCCTTTCCCCATTACCTTATGCTCTGCTGGGCTAGAGACCTTAGTTCCAAAATGAAAAATGTTTTCTCCAGGAGACACAGCTACGATTCCATTGAACTGAAAGCTATTCCAGCCACCCAAGGTCTTTGGGATTTTCATGTCTGTGAATTAACAGGCAAAGGAAAGGATTCTCTCACTGGTTTGAGTTATTGATCCTAATTACCAAGAGGAAATTGGATTTTCTTCCACAATGGATGAAGCAGGTATACAAAATACAGGATATTCATAAGGATATTTATCTCTTACTACTACCATACCCTGTGACTAAAGTCCATGGAAGGGGTCGGCAGGTGGCACGGTGGTTAAGGTGCTGGATTCCCACATAATCAACTGTGGTTCAAGTCCTGGACTTGGTGGTTTGCTTTCTCACTCTTCCTTTCTCTCTCTCTCTCTCTCTCTCTCTCTCTCTCTCTCTTCAAATTGAAGAATAATAATAAATAAAATAAAATAAAATAAAATAAATCATCATAAAAATTTTTAAATAAATAAAATAAAATCCACAGAAAACTATTACAACTCAATACAGACAAGATTGCTCATGGCCCAGACCCTTCAGAAATTAAATCTAACATTAATTTTTTCTTAATATTATCTTTTTGTTTTAAGAAAAAAATATCCCCCTCAGAATCATCAAGATAGCATCTTATGTTTTCTTCTAGAAGCTTTATTGTTTTATAAATTTTTACACTTAGAGCTGTGCTCTACGGTATGTTAATTTTGTGTTGTGTGTGATACGTTGGGAAACAAGATTCATTTATCTTTTCCATTCAGATAGTTTTATTGACTCAGCACCATAATTGAAAAAAAAAAAACATTCTTATCCCTTTGAGTTGAAGAGGGGACTTTATCATAAGCCAGTGACAACAGATGTATAGAGCTATTTCTAAACTTTATTTTCTATGCTTATTGCTCTATGTTTTCATTTGCATTAACGGCATTCTTAATTTTTTTCATCTTGGGTCTTGATAGCTAGGTATAGAAATCTGCTTTTTGTATTCTTTATAACTATCTAAGCTATTCTAGGTCTTTTGCATTTCTCTATTCATTTAAAGTCAGACTGTCAATTTCCACAAAAAGAACTTCCAAAAGCTTGATTCATATTTTACTGAATCTACAGATAAATAAATAAAAGATAATTGATATTTTTAAAAGATTTTCAGCCTAAAGCATGCTTTATCCTTTCATTTACTTAGGCCTTCTTTTATTTTATCAACCATGTTTCAGAGTTACCAGTGTAGAGGATTTACATAGATCACATTAAATTTATCCCTTAATATTTGGCATGTTAGTGTCAAATGAAATATAACATGTTAGTTATATTTCAACAGTTTGTTGGTGTTAAAGAAAAAGTATTTTTATTGTCTCTGTATCTACCAACATTGTAGAATTCACTTATTATTAAGAGCTGTTTCTAGATTTTTTCAAAGAGATTTTTGCTGTAGGGTATGTGAGCTCACTGGAGACACAGAGACAGAGAGAAAGTGAGAAACCACCCATTGGGGGGATGGCCGCGCTACAATCCCTTCTCCATTCTCCTCTCAGGATTTTGGCCACACACACACACACACATGCACGCACTCAGCATGAGTTTTAAGCCCTAGGCTCAAGACTCAAATCATGATCGGTCATGTGGGAATCCAGCTCCTTAACCACTATGCCACCTGCTGGTCCCCGTTTCTAGATTCCTTTGAATTTTCTACACACACATCATATGTGAATGATAGTGTTTCTTTCTTTCTAATTATCACAGTGTTTCTTTCATTATAAAATGCAGGCCAGTCAGTGGAGTGGTGGTTCAAGTGGCTGGGTACCACATGGTCAACTGCACAGTGAAGAGTCTCAGACCTAGCAACCTGAAAAACAGACATGCGTGTGTGCCCAAAACCTGAAAAGGAGAGAAACATGGAGGAAAAAGGTATCATAGCATGATCCTTCTCCATGGGAAGTGGGGTGCTCTCTCTCTTTTACTCCCCCAACTCCCTTCCCCCAACAAGCATACACATTCTCTGGGGGAAAAAATGCTAAAAAAGAAAGAAGTCTATTTCTTGTGTTTACTAGCTCATTGCATTGGCTAGTATCTTCAGTAAAATGCTGAATAGATGTGGCTGAAACTATCTTTGCCTTGTTTCTAATCTGAAAGGAAATGAATTCACTATTTTGCCATTAAATGCAGTGTTAGCTTTTGGTAAATTTCCTTCATCAAATTAAATAGGGTTCCTTGGGACCAGCAGTTAGCGTAATGGCTATGTCACGGGACTCCCATGTAGTCGACTGCGATTCGAGTCCTGGACCCGGCGGCTTAAACTCACGCCGGGTGCGTGTGCGTGCGTGCCCAAGATCCCAAAGGAGAAAGGAGGAGAAGGGATTGCGGCGTGGCTATCTCCCCTGGGGGGTGACCTCTAGCTTTCTGTCTCTCTGTCTCTCTCTGTCTTTCTGGCGAGCGCACGTGCCCCATAGCAAAAACTTCTCAAAAAAAAAAAAAAAAACAGGAAAAATCAAATAGGGTTCCTTTTATTCCCAATTTACTCTTAAAAGTATGTTAAGAGTAAATTTTTTCTCTTAAAAGTATGTTAAAATTTATCACTTTTGGGGCCAGCAGGTGGCGTGGTGGTTAAGGACACTGGACTCCCACATGGCCAGCCATGGTTCAAGTCCCAGACTTAGCAGCTTGCTTTCTCACTTTCTCTCTCTCTGTCTCTCTCTCTCTCTCTCTCTCTCTCTGGTCAAATTTAAATAAATAAATAAATAAATAAATAAAGTTTAAAAAAAATTCTTTAAAAAAAAGTATCACTTTTTTCCATCTACTGAGATGATTATATGACTTTTCTTTTGTTCTATTATAGTGAATTATTGGGTTGTTGGAAATGTCATGACACAATTTTGCATAGAAAAATATGCCATGACTTTTCCGATGACCCAATATATTCAGATTTTCAAATGTTAAACCAACATTGAATTTCTGTGACAAACCCTTATTACTCGGATAAATGCACATGTATGTGCAGACACCCCCCTGCCCCCCAGAAGACTAGGTCATGAAAGATGTTGCCATGCTTGCCTTGGTGTTTGGGTTACTTGATCTTAGGGAAGCTGGGTGACACTAAGCCGTCCTGAAGTGAGGTCCATGTGGCAAGTACTGAGGCCTCCTGCCAGCAGCCAGGATCACCTTGCCAGCCGTGGTGAAAGCAGATCTTACAGCCCAGGAAAGCCTTCACATGACCGAGTGCCAGCAAACACCTTAGCTGAACCTTCACAAGAGACCCTCAGCCTGAGCCACCCAAGCGAACTGCTCACGCATTCCTGGTCTATTGAAACTGAGATAAGAAGTACTTAGTACTACTTGAAGTCACTAAGTTTAGGAGTACCGTATTACGATGCAATCGATAATACTAAATGTGAACATACACTTTTTTTGCACCTTGTTAACAATATATTCTAGAAATTATTCCATATGATTTCACAAAAATCTCCCTCATTCTCTTTATAGATTATAGTATCCTACTACACTTCAGCTCTATTGTAACTTGTTGGCCAGTCTCTTGTAACTGTGCAATCAGACATTTCCAATATTTTGTTATGACAGATAATGCCACATTTAAGCACTCTGCATACACGTTGATGTTAGAAGTATACTTTCAGAGTGCATTCGCTGAGATAGGATTGCTGCTTCGAGGTGTACTGTTTTTATCCTTTCTTAGAGCTTGCTAGATTTCACATCACAGGACGATACCATTGTTACTCCTTGGTGAGCTAAAACCCTGCCTATTTCCCCAGGGCCTCACCAACAATGAAAACGTTCTAAAGTCTCATCCTGGGCAAGGTGGAGGCAGCAGTCAGACGATGGCCTTGGTGAAGGAGAAGGGTGACATTTGCTACCTGTCATGGTGGAGAAGGACAGAGTTTCGATGGCGTACTTAGGATGAGATGGAATCACTAATGGAATTGGAACAATGGCTGAACCCCCACATTTTATACAGGGTGTTCTAGTCTGCTGCATGGCTAATAACAGAAGACTCCTGAGTCTGGGCGATCTAGAAAAATAGAGGTTTGCTCAGCTTACGGTCGGAAGGTCCAAGATCTGGCAGCTGCATCTGCAAGGGGGAAGCAGGCCGGCTTGAGGTGCAGCCGTGCTGCGGCCATTTTGAAATGCAGAAAGGC